CAAACTCGAGGAGATCTTTTAGCCCACCCGCATGCAGACCCTGTGCAAGGCCCCCCTAAAATAGCTCCCTCGCCACCGCTGCCACCCTTAAAACAGCTCAAAGGGTCCCATCATTTTTACACACACATGCCCACCCCTACCCGCGACTCCCTAAGTTTTCAAAAGGTCATCTGCTGGCAAGGAATAGAGGGTGCGGGGAGGGGCAGAAGAGGAAGGGCAGGGCCTCGGGCAGAGGGGGAGGGGCCCTAGCTTCCCCCCAATGGCGTGCTCACCAGCTGCCCATACCAGCTGGCTGTTGGTGCACAGTGCTGCATTTCAGCCCCGAGCGATGCCACTTTCAACACTTTGTGTGTCCAGTATTTGCACTGCGGGCGTTTCTTTTGAAGGGCATCTTGCTGTGTTACAAGCTAATCGCCCCTTCTCGGGGAGGAAGTTTTCACTGCATTTCTCTCAGCCTTTAAGTCCTCTCCTCAAATCTCATCCTCACACTCGCCTCAGGCGCTTCCCCATGACCGGCATCTCCTGCCAGGCTCCCCTTGACTTCCATTCCTCAGGCCTGAGAGGAAGGCCGGCCTGGCCCAGGCAGGTCTACAGAGACCCCTTGCCCCAGTAAGGGTTAGAGAAGAGGGGTAGCAGAAGCTTCCGACCAGTGCCAAGGCCATGGGTGCCTCAACCGTGGCGCACCCCCCACGCTGCCCCTGCCCTCATGCCACTCCTGCTCCCCAAAGTGCCAGCCCTGTGCCGCCACTTCCCCCGAAGGCTCTCCTCATCCTTATGGCCAATACACAATCTGGGCCCCCTGGCTCCCCCCATTTCAGCACCCCTATTAAAGAATCAGGCCACTAGGTGCCACTTCTATAACTGGGTGTGTGCGAATAGCGTGGAGCCTCGCTGAAGTCGAGAAAGACCAGGGCTGGCCTTACATGAGGCAAACTGAGGTGGCCGCCTCAGGTGCCAGACTGTGTGTTGGGGGTGCCCCTAGGACCTAGAGTGTAGAAAATTGTGTCTGCTGCTGGTGCAGATGTATTCTCTCTGCTCTAGATGCCCAGAGATGGTGGAGTGCTGTGCTGGAGGAAGGAGGGCAGAACTGACACCTTTCAAAGTTTTGGCCCAAGCGAGGGGGCGTCATTTGAGCTCCCTGCCTCAGGTGCCAAAATGTTGTGGGCCGGCCCTGAGAAAGTCCTTTGGACTGGGCCTTATTCGATAGCAATGAGCCTGACACAGAAATCTCAGCTCTAAACGCTCCATAATTTTACAGGGTCGTTTGCCATGTTTTGGTACAACACAGAGAGCAATAGGCCTCTCTGACAGGCCCTGTAAGTGCTGCCACATTACAAACGCCAGAGCCCGTATCTATTAGTAAAGCAAACCACCAATCGTGGACGCAAGCCACGCTTGCTGCGTGTTGCAGGGGTTTGTTTAGTGACACGAATCACAGGATTACTTACACTCTAGCTTTTCAGTGTTCGCTGCAGTACTCCATGAATTTCCCCTCTATACAGGCAGTGGATGTGAGCTGATCACAATATTCTCCTCCCATGAAGTCACGGCTCCAAAATTTTTAATGAAGGCCCCGTTACCTCCCACACAATTATAGTTTGCTTTCCACCTCGCCCTCCAAACTCTCTGCTTCTTCTCCAGCAGTCCCCTTTTGCACACATGCATCCATAGAATCTTTTCCCATTGCCTCCTGGTACCAGAGAGAAGGCCCCAATATATCGGGTTTCCAGACACATTTCAAGACATCGTGTGAAACAATTCTGTCCCTGCGTAAGTTGTTTTGCTGCTAAGGTGACAGTAGAAACAACTTGGGCAGCTCCAATTACTTTCAAGTGAATTTTACAAGAGAAAAAAAGATTCTAGGCCCAGCGCCAAAAGTGGCACATATTGATATGTGTTTGAGTAGTTAAATCCCTGGACTGTCATTGCTCATTAAGGCTACATCTACACTGCAGGCTTCTTGTGCAAGAAGCTTTTTGCAGAAGAGATCTTCCACAAAAACTTCTTGCACAAGAGTGCATCCATACTGCATGGACGCTCTCTCGCAAGAAAGCTGATTGCCATTCAGAATAGCCACCAGGGCACCTGTGCTTCTTTTGATAGGGTTTTTTTTGCACAAAACCAGCCTGTTTCCCATACACACACACCTTTTTGCACAGTTATTCCTCGGAGAAAGAGGAATCCCTGTACCGCAGAACCCCCTCTGGTCTGTCAATTCACTGTAAATTTTCTTGCTCAAAAACGTGCTTGAGGTGTGGATGCTCCGTGGGTTTTTGTGCAAAAACACTGCAGTGTAGACATAGCCTAAACGTGCTGTCATATGGGTGGAAATTGGGTAAATATTGCACTTTTTAAAGATCAGCAGAACTGACTTCAATGGGGCCTTAGTCTTGTGTGTAGTCTTGCCTTAATCTTTGTATTCTTGCCCGTCAGTGTGAAAGAAGCTATTTGCATGTCTATGCAGCCACAATTAAGTTGCGGCCCTTGGCATGTGCGGTAAGTATCACTGTGGCCCCTGGGGCTTCCAAATTTGAGTAGCCCTGGGCTAGGTTCTGATGTCCATTTTGCGGGTGTAGCAGAAGCAAATCAACTGATGCTACGGCAATGCTAAATGGATGTACAGGTGTAGCAGCTCAGCCCCCTCCTCGCTCTTGGGCATTTGCAGTAACAGCATTCAGGACCCGCCAAAAAAGTCAATGATTTGTATTTCAGTCGTGTCTCAAAGGTATATCTGACAGCAGAGCCCTATTGTGGGAGGTATTGTCTTAGAGATACTGTCTGCCCAGATTCCCGCTGTCACTGGAAGCCAGGCACTCTAATATCTTTGAGGATCTGGGCTCTGTAGTATAAGGAGCCAAAACAGACAAAGGATGGGGAGAAAATGACCCCTACTTTCCAGGTGGGGAATGGAGGCACACAAAGTTTGAGACCTATCTTTCTGGAGGTGCTCTGTCCACACAGGCAGGGCCAGATGTTGGAGCATTCAACTTCCATTTAAGCACTAAAGGGAGAGGCCAAATTTTCCAAAGGGCACACGTGCTTTGCAGAGCACTTTTCAAACTCTGGCCATTGGCACTGCAGAGGGAGCTACTGGTGGTTCGAAAACCTGACCCCCATGGTGCTATTCCAAAAACCTAGCCCCGAGCGACACCAGGGAGTCCCTGGCCAAGGTTGGAACTGAACCCAAATCTGAGTCGCAGCCAAGCGGCTCAACCCCCAAACTAGTCTTGCTTGCTCCATCGGCCAGGCAAGGCATGGTCAGAATACTTGCTCTTGGAAAGAAGAGCCCTAGTGCATTTCCATCGACAGGGTAAAGCCACGGGAGTCGATTGTGGGTTTAGGCCAGTGAGAATATTAATTAAATTATCACCAGGGTTGTTCCTACCAGTGCTGGTGCCCGACGCAGCCCAGGACCACCCCACCCCCATACAGAGGGAGCGGCTGCATTGTAAGGGGCAGGGGAGGTCCAGGGTCAGAAGCTGTGTGGGGCAAGGGGTTGCAACTCTCCCGGACTGGCGCTGTTTGCTGCAATGGTGTCTGGTCCAGGAGAGCTGGCATTTGGGAGCGGGGCCAGGAGGGAGGCTGACGTACAGCCTCAGGGCCACAGGCGGGGGGCGCAGGCAGTGGTGCATCTGGAGGCCAGAGAGAAATGGCACTTTGAAGGGGAAACTGCTGCTTCTCTCCAGCGGCCGGCTGCACAGCCACCTCCTGCTCCCCCAGAACCCCCCGCCTGTGCTCCTGCACCGTTTGCCAGCACCTGGTGAGCAGGGACGGGGCGCAGCTCCCAGAGCGGGAAGCAGCTGAAGTCCTGCTGCTGAGCCCACGGCGGGAGGGGGAGGTGAAGTGAGAGGGACAGCATCGGAGCTGGTGACCGCTTAACATCCTGTCCCTGGGCATACACAGCACAGGGCACCACTACAGTCAGGGCATGGCCTGGATTATCACGCCCCAGCTCTGTTAGGGTTACAGGAGTCCAGAACATAACCTAAGAACGGCCATACTGGGTCAGACCAACGGGCCATCTAGCCCAGTGTCCTGTCTGCCCACAGTGGCCAATGCCAGATGCCCCAGAGGGAGGGAACACAACAGGTAATCCTCACAGGATCCCTCCCTTGTCTCCCATGTGTGGGAACGTAACCCCAGCTCAGAACACAGAACCGCTGACACGCAGGACTGGATAGGACCTCAGATTATCTCGTCCACGCGCCTGCACCGAAGCTGGGCTAAGTCTTATCTCTAGACCATTCCTACCAGGTGATGGTCCAGCCTGTTCTAACCACCCTCCAGTGACCGGGATCCCACAGCCTCCCTAGGGAATTTGTGCTTATCTAGCGGAGTTTAAGCTGTGAGTGCCTGCGAGCGAGCGCGCAAAGGATGCCAGTCCAGACCGGTGGAGAGCTGGCTAGATCTCCAGGATAAACCGCGTGCCCTGTGGTTATGGGCCGTGCTCGTTCCGGGATGGCTGCTGGCCGGGGTCTCCGGCTGCAGCTGCTACATCACTTACCCCATTGGCTGCTTGTGCGGTCACAAGCCACAGACCGGAAGACAACCCCATGGCAGAGATGGGAACAGAACGAAGGGCGCCTGGCTTCAAGGCTCCTTTGCCCGCCTCAGTGCAGCCACAGGCCCAAAGGAGAACAGCAACCGCTTTGCTGAGCCCAGCAGCCTGAAGAGGCCGGAAGCCTGTGGCTCCTACTTGAGTCCAGAGTCGCATGATGGCTCCTTGCAGGAGACGCACACGGCCATCTCTGCCTACAAGGTTGGCATGGCTGGGTTGCTTGGTCTTTGCCCTGTTCCGGCCCAGCAGGACCAGCGGTTTGTTTCACCCCCAAAGCTCCCAGGTCTCAGGTGATTCCTTTAAGCCAGGGGGTCTCAAAACTTCCTTGCACTGCGACTCCCTTCGCACACAACCTGCCTGAGCCCCACCGCCCCAAGTGGGGGGGGGGGGGGGGCAAAATGGGGGGGTTTGGGGCCCCCCCCCCCCCAGCACCGGCGCTTACCAATGCCTGTCAGGAAGACCCCAGCTTGGTCGATGGGAGGCCCTCCATCCTCGCCGTAGTAGTTGACGGTTACCTGGAAACGCACAAGACGGGCGAGTGAGCGAGCGAGGGGGGAGGGCGGGACAGGGAACGGCAATTTCCGCCCCAGCTCTAAGCCCAACCCGTGGCGTGGTTCTGCCCCTGCCTGGACGCCTGCTGCTGCTCCTCTCTGGCCAAACTTTCCTCCCTTCTCACCCACCCCCCTCCATCCTCGCCGTAGTAGTTGACGGTTACCTGGAAACGCACAAGACGGGCGAGTGAGCGAGCGAGGGGGGAGGGCGGGACAGGGAACGGCAATTTCCGCCCCAGCTCTAAGCCCAACCCGTGGCGTGGTTCTGCCCCTGCCTGGACGCCTGCTGCTGCTCCTCTCTGGCCAAACTTTCCTCCCTTCTCACCCACCCAGACCACTGCTGTGACAGTGAGCTGCCCTCAGGTCCCGGCCCTCCCCGAAGCTCTCCCCTGGCTTCCTCCCCATCTGCTTCGCTCTCCCGTCTTCCCGCTCCAGTCTCCTTCGCCCTTTGGGGCCCTTCTCCCCCATGACTCCATGTTTCTCCCAGGTCTGGGTCTCCCTAGCAACCCACCCCTGGGCAGCCTGCCATCACACCTGGATCCCCAGGTGTCTCATGGGAACCGGACCACGGACCTTTCCCCCTGGTGGTCGCGCACTTCCCTGGCTTGGGCTAAACAAACTTCCCTGCAGTCCTAACACAGCCCACTGGCCTGCGTGGAAGTTTTGCCTGGGGAAGGGCTATGGGTTGGGTTTGCACTGTAGCCATCTGCCATGTTGGGGCCCAGCCTGGGGAGAGGCAAGGGCCCCCCCAGGGCCAATGCACAGCCCAGCCGTGGGGGTGGGGATGTAGCTCTCGGAGATTCCCCCCTCTTGGGCCGGCCAGTTGACGTCAGAGACGTTCTCAAGGCTGCTCGAAGCTGAGCTGCTCGGGGCCGTTTTGCTCCTGAGGAATAGCCAGGACACAGGAATATGCTGGCGGCACCCTCATGTCCCATGGCTCATCCCCACACCGGGCAGTGCACAGGGAGGGTGCATCACTGGTGACTCCGACTCTAGGCCTACGGGGAAAGCCCCTTTGCTGGGCATATTTGATCACCAGAAAGGTGATGCAGCAAAGCCAGGAATTCCCTTCTCTCCATTGTGCCTGCGAAACTCTCGTGGGCAGAACAGAACCTGGGACCCTTGGAGCCTAGCGCACGAGCCAAAGGGCAGCAGGCTCTTAGCTGCGGCTGTAGCGCAGACTCATCATTCACGCTGTAGGTCGCAGTGCTACTAGCTGGGCTATCACACTGCACCGAAGGGGTGTGGGTTACACCTGCTCTCAGCACTCAGTAAGACAAGGGTAAATACTGCAGTCCTGACCTGCGGCACTGCTGGTTTTCCAGGCAAGGGGGCACCTAAGCAAAGCGAGGGACATGCACGCAGCTGGAGACTAGTCGCCCCATCCAGCCCATCTGCACTTCTCAACCAAAGGGGTCAGAAGCCCGGACTCCGGAGCTAAGAAGCCCTCGCTCAGCCCTGTAGGAGATCAGACACCAGAGACGGCCAGGAGACTTCGAGGGGCTACATGCCAGATGGCTACAGCAAGCCAGCTCGCTCAGGCTTTGTCTTCACTGCGGGTTCTTCGGGCACAAAATATGCTAATGAAGGACTCATTTGCATAAGTCAATCTCATTAGCATATTTTCTGCCTTTTTTTTGCGCAAAGGGTTTTTGCACAAGAAGCAGCAGTGTGGACTTGTTTGTGGCACAAAACCCCCTGCTTGCACAAGATCCGTATGCCTGTCCTGGCCAGGGATAAGGATCTTGCGCAAAACAGGGTTTTTGCTCCCCCCCCAAAAGGTCCACACTGCTTCATTTTGCGCAAAAACCCAAGTGCAAAAAGAAATGGCAGACAATATGCTAATGAGATTGCAATTTATGCTAATGAGTCCCTCATTAGCATATTTTCTGCCGGAAGAACTCGCAGTGAAGACGTTGCCTCAGAGTCAGCGGCGCGCCTGGTGGGTGGCAGCCCTGCAGTGCACGGGCCTGCTGCCATGGGAGACCCACGTGGCGAGGGAAGGTTTAAGTGACTGGACTCGGTGCCGTTTTCCATTCCCCGGGGGTGCTGGGTGACATGGAAGGACGCAAGCGGCTCCCGGCAGCAGAGCTCCGGAGTGGAGAGCAGCCAAGCACTGCAGTGTGTGCATGAGCAGCGGGACAGGGAGGGGCAAAAGTAGCAGCTCTCTGATCTAGTGGTGAATCGGCAGGTGCCCTGCCAATGCCAACGAGCTGCTCAGTTTCAGGACTGAGCCTGATTGCGGGGGAGTGGGGAAGGTGGATCCAAAATCTGAAAGCCTCCCAAGGAGACAGAGACTAGCAGGGAGACTGGAGCTTGCACTAAGCCAGGTCTCAGCTTGTCCCTTTCCCGAAGAGGAAGAAAGGGGCCAATTGGCATGGAATTAGCCACGGGTGGCCGGAAGGAGAGGGGAGCAGCCAGACACCAACCCGAGGAAGGACTTTGGCTGCGTCTAGATTGGCATGATTTTCCGGAAATGCTTTTAACGGAAAAGTTTTACCTTGTTGTCATTGGCCTCGGCGCTGGCTTTACTCATGCTGAGCTTCAGGACTGTCCCCGGGTCCAGAGGCCACTGCTTCCCGCCATCTGGGGGGACCTCCTGTGATTGGTCATCGGTAACAACTTCAACTTGAACCCCAGCCGTGTGCTTGACGCTGAACGACACAGCGCCTGCAGGAGCCGCTCTGCAACAGAGGGAGGGCGTGGGGATCAGAGGGCTGTGGAGAGACAACTCGGAGATGCCTCGCTCTCCCTTTCCCTGTTCAAAAACTTCAGGGGGCAGCCGAGTTAGTCTGTAATAGGAAAAACTTAAATGACTCTGATACCCTCCTGATAGCCTAATAGTGATATATCACAAGTGCTGGTTTCTCACTGACAGTCTGTCCTGCAGGAACTTCATTTGTCTTGGGCTCTGGCTTAGTGGAGTTTTTCTGATCAGATGCATAGCTTATGTTTCAGAATACCCACTATTGTATTTAACTCAAGAAGTTGTTGTTCGGTGTCTTAATTATTATTTGTATTGTGAAAAACTTAAACAATGAATAGACTAGTAGCACCTTAAAGACTAATAAAACACATAGATGGTATCATGAGCTTTCGTGGGTACAGCTCACGTTGTCAGATGACAGAAGTGTTAGAAGTCCAGATCCGAGAATAAATAAGGGAAGGAGGGAGCCAGGGGTGGGGGGGGGGAGGGGGGAAGAGGAGAAAGAAAAAAAAGAGAAAAAAGAAAAAAGCGGGAGGGGGAGAGAAAAAAAAAGCGAGAGAGACCGACAGACAGACAGACAGAGTAGATAAACTTGGGCTAGCCAAGTTAGTCGGTAACAGGAAAAACTTAAAAAACAAACAACAAATAGTCTAGTAGCACCTTCAAGACTAAATAGTTACAAGAGGCTGATAAGAACCATAAGCACCTTCATTGGTTGGTTGGTTAAGTCATTAAGATGTGGAAGATATGTCACTCCCATGTCAAGGCTCCTGAAGAGATGCTTGCACTGAACTCAATAGAGCAGCACTGATGATCAGGTAAATGTCTGTGAGCTAATGATATTTGAGGTGATAATTGGGGAAGCTATCTTTGTAATGGGGAAGATAATTAGAGTCTTTATTCAAACTTAAGTGTAAAGTGTCGAATTTAAGCATGAATGACATTTCAACCAGAAAGGACATTGTCTCAACAATGACTTGATTACCTGCATCCTGCTTCAAAGGCCTTTTAAGACTGCACTTGAAAGAGAATCCTCTGAACTGTCATTCATGCTTAAATTCGACACTTTACACTTAAGTTTGAATAAAGACTCTAATTATCTTCCCCATTACAAAGATAGCTTCCCCAATTATCACCTCTAATATCATAAGCTCACAGACATTTACCTCCCCTCCCTCCCCCATCCCTCTTCTGTTCTGAAATTTGATTTGTCCTTTTCATATGTGTTCATTTTTTTTTAATTGTATCCTTTGGTATATATGGTTGTGACAATTTTCTTCCACTATTTGATCTGAGGAAGTGGGTCTGGCCCACGAAAGCTCATCACCTAATAAACCATCTTGTAGTCTTTAAAGTGCTACATAGTCCTGTTTTTTGTTTCAGCTACACCAGACTAATACGGCTACATTTCTATCACTATTCCCTATTAGAGCAAGTCTCATCTGCGGACCACACTATGGACCCCCACATCCTTAGCAAGCGGATGGGCTGGATTTCGGAATACAAAGAGCTGATCTTTTGGACAATGGGAGTCCCTAGGTGCAGTTATGATGGGCTCTTTCTGAACACTAGCTCAGGGCATAAATGCAGGGGCAGTTACGTTAAGAACCTGTGGAAGACGTGCTGATTTTGTTCTAGCGGCACATGGCCCGGGGCTGCAGCACCAAGCGGCCATTGCTGAAGGAGAGCACGGAGCTGAACCTCAGCAGTTGTAACCCCTCACCTGCTTCAGGTCACGGGGAAATAATCCTAGAACCAGCCCCCTGTGGTGCAACAAGTAACCAGAAACTCAGTTGCCAAAGCAACTAATCCTGTAGCTCATGCGTAGTAACTGGAGCTTCTCGGCTTTCAGACAGAGTCAGCCTGGTGCATGCAGAGGAGTGAAGGGCGATGCTAGCTTATGTCCCCAAAGACAGACCACCCCACACCCCTTCACAGAATCCTAGGACTGGAAGGAACACCCACAGGTCATCAGGTCCAGACCCCTGCACTCATGGCTGGACCAAGCACCACCTAGACCATCTCTGGCAGATGTTTATCTAACCTTAAATGTCTCCAGTGATGGAGATTCCACAACCTCTCTCAGCCATTCATTCCAGTGCTTAACCACTCTGACAGGTAGGAAGTTTTTCCTAATGTCCAACCTAAGCCTCCCTGGCTGCAATTGAAGCCCATTGCTTCTTGTCCTACCCTCAGAAGCCAAGGAGGAAGGAGAAACCTTATTCTCCTTGTTGCAACCCTTTAAATACTTGAAAGGTGCTATCATGTCCTCTTTGCCTTCTCTTTTCCAGATTAAACAATCCCAGTTCTTTCGGGCTTCCCTCATAGGTCATATTTGCTAGACCGTAAATCATTTTTGTTGCTCTTCTCCTGAACTTCTATAATTTGTCCACCCAGAACTGGACACAATACTCCAGTTGAGGTCTAATCAGCACAGAATAGAGTAGAAAAATTACTGCTTCTGTCTTGCTTACAGCACTCCTGCAATAACATCCTAAAATATTTGCTTCCCTCCCACCCCCAACAGTGTTACACTGTGAGGGTATGTCTACACTGCCATCCTAGTTTGAACTAGGGTGGCTAATATAGGCATTCGAACTTGCAAATGAAGCTTGGGATTTAAATATCCAGGTCTTTATTTGCATGTTCCCGGGCGCCGCCATATTTAAATGCCCCATAGTTTGAACTACCTGCCTGCAGCTACACGCGGCACGGACGAGATAGGTCGAATTAAAGCTCCTAATTCAAACTAATGTTAATCCTCTTGCAATGGCAGTCTGTGCCACGTGTAGCCACGGGCAGGTAGTTTGAACTACGGGGCATTTAAAAATGGCGGCACCCGGGAACTTGCAAATAAAGCCCGGGATATTTAAATCCCGGGCTTCATTTGCAAGTTCGAATGCCTACATTAGCCACCCTAGTTCGAACTAGGATGGCAGTGTAGACATACCCTTAGATCGTATGTAGCTTGTAGTCTGACTCCACTATGACCCCTAGATCCCTTTCTGCAGTACCCATTCCTAGATAGTCACTTCCCTATTTTGTATGTTTGAAACCAATTGTTCCTTCCTAAGTGGAAGATTTTGAATTTGTCCTTATTGAATTTCATCCTATTTACCGCTGACCATTTTTCCAATTTGTTCGGATCATTTTGAATTAGAATTGCACCCTCAAAAGGACTTGCAACCTCTCCCTGTTTGGTGTAATCTGTAGACTTTACAAGTGCACTCTCTACTTTGTTATCTGAATAATCGACGAAGCACTGGACTAGGGATGTTAAATATAGTTTAATCAACTAGTTGAAGGATTTTCCATCAACTTTGTCCATAGGTTTCCAAAATGGGGGGCACTCCCCCAGAGGGGGTGTAAAAAAATTCCAGGGGGGTGGCCCGAGGCGACCGACCCTCCCCCCCATCAATCCTCCCCACCCCCCAAGAAAGAGCCCGGTCTGTCCAGTAAAAAAAAATTCAGAATACCATGTGAAATGTCCGGTGTTTTCTGTTTTTCCTGGCTTGGGAGTCCGCCGGAACATGCACAGCTCGGGCTGGCTGGGATGGGGGGAGGATGGAGCATCCCGGGCAGATTTTAATATGGCCTCCTTAAAAGAGCAATGCCTGCTCTTAAAAGGGCAACCTTTTTTTGGGGGGGTCAACAACTTTTCACTTGGAGTACCGGCACCTTTTTTAAAAAATTTTTATAAACACTGCTCCTGGGAATTAAAGGGGCTGCGACTGTTTTTCAGCCCCGATCAGTTCCCTTTTTTTTTCTCTCAACAAGTTTTGTTGCTATTTTTTGGGGGCGGAGGGGGGGCGTGAAGGTTTCTCAAAAATCAGAAAGGGGCATGATGCCGATAAGTTTGGGAATCACTGGTAGTCAATTAGTCAATAAGCAAGGGAGCCACAGAGGGGTTAGCTTCCGGTCTCGGCAGCTAACCCCGCTGTGGCTCTGCCTTTTAAATGTATTAAGCGCTGGCAAGCTTTTAATACATTTAAAAGGCTGAAGCACAGCAGGGGGACCCAGTGTGAGCCAGGACAGCTGATTGCCAGCTCATGCTGGGTCCCTTCTGCTGAACTTCTGATTTTCAAATGTATCAAGAGCCAGCAGAGTTGCAGCATCAGGGACTGGGTTTGAGCTGGGAATCAACTGATTCCCAGCTCGCTCCCAGTCCCCGCTTCTCCCCTGTTTCCTGCAGAAATGGTGCTGGGGGGAACTGGCTTTTAAGTTGTCCCCCCCCTTTGCTGCCTCTGTTAGAGGCAGCAAGGGCAGTGTGGGGGGAGGGGGGGGTGACTAGTCGAGGAACTGGTTGACTATATGATAGACAAGTCGACTACTCACTTACATCCCTACACTGGACCCAACACTGATCCCTGCAGAACCCCACTCGTGTTATGTCCTTCCAGCACAACTGCGAGCCATTGATAACTACTCTCTGGGAATGTTAGTCTGTATCTGCAAAAACAAGTCTTGTGCACTTTGAAAACTAACAGATTCCTTTGGGGCATGAGCTTTTGTGGGTAAAACCCACTTCAGGAGTATGCATCTATGAAGTGGGCTTTACCCACGAAAGCTTATGCCCAAATAAATCTGTTAGTCTTCAAGGTGCCATGGAAGTCCTTGGTTTTTCCTCTGGGAATGGTTATCCAATCAGATACTCACCCACCTTACTGTGGCTCCATCTAGATTTACATAGTCATGTGAGACTGTATCAAACACCTTCCTAAAGTCTAGATATAACACATCTACCACTTCCCCTTGATCTTTCTGTCTTAGCTTCTGAACCTAGCCATTTTCATTGGCATTCACAACCGTAGGCATCCAATCACCACCAATCTCCTCGGTGAAAAGCAAACTAAAGAAGTCATTAAAGAACCTCTCCCATTTCCACGCCAGCTGTTATGTTTTTCCCTCTTTGTTTAGTAATGGGCCTCCCCTGTCCTTGGTCTTCCTCTTGCTTTTAGGATATCGGCAGATTGTTTT